ATTTTAGTTTTGTTTTATTTTCACCGACGCTGTTCTTCCTTCGGGAACCCCTGGTTGCTGGAGCTCATCTCCAGCAAGTGGCCCCCAAACAGGACCCAAAGGTAATCAGATAGGAGCACTCGGGAGGGCTAGGACTCCACCTGGGGTGCTGCAGACCCCTGCAGACGCAGACAGGTAAGTGAAGGGTGGATAGTCAGAACAAAAATTTGAGAAGTTATGGGCCATATTAAGTCTAGAGAAAGAAGACTATTGAAGTATTACTGCATATGCTTGGAAAAAGAAAAATTAAAGTTACTAATAGCCAGTTGGCTAAATTTTTACATTTTATTCAGGAATGCTGTCCATGGTTTCCTGAAGAAGATACAGTAAACTTACAGACATGGAATAGAGTAGGAGATCAGCTTAGGGAGTATTATACTCTCCATGGACCAGAAAAGGTAACTGTAGATGCCTTTGCTCTTTGGAATTTAATTAAAGATGTTTTAGAACCTCGGCAAGAGGTTGAAAAACTCCCCCAATGGGAGAATTTTTCTTTAGGGGAAGGTACTCCTTTGCTTTCTCCTGCTACGTCTCAGGCAATGCTGGCTTCGGCCCTGCCTGATGACGATAAGCTTACACCTGAGGAGGAAGAAGATTTGGAGGATGCTGCAGCCAAATATCATGATGAGGGAAGCCCTATAGGGGTTTGTGCAGCTCCACTAAATAATAAAGAGCCTCCTACACCTTTTTGGGCTCCCCCTAGTCCTTTACATTGTGATAAATTGTTTAGACGTTTGCCACCTCGTCCCCCTCTTCCAATGACCTTGGCACGACAGGAGGTCCATAGAACTTCAGGCTTTTTGGCTGCACTAAGACAGGCAGAACAGGCAGGGGATATTGAATTTGCTCAATGTTTTCCTGTCATGTATGGAGGCGAATTTGATGAGGAGATCTCTTGGGAACCTCTGCCATATAAAATACTCAAGGAATTAAAGGCTGCATGTCAGGACTATGGTTCTCTTCTTATACATTAACTCTTTTGGATACACTGTCTAACCGATGGATGGCACCTTATGATTGTGTGCAAGTGGCCAAGGCCTGTTTGTCTGGAGGTAATTACTTGTTATGGAGGGCAGAATATGAGGAATTGGCTAAGAGGCAGGTTTCTATAAAAAGGAAGTCCAAGGATGCCCCTATGACTTTAGACATGTTGCTAGGAAGAGGAGAGTATAATACTGCCTGGTGTCAGATGTATTTAGACAAGGATGTTCTTGCATAAGTAAATTCCTATGCAGTCAATGCTTGGAAGGCCTTGCCAGTCACCACTGAAAAAGCAACAGCATTAGGGAATGTTAAACAAAGGGCAGAGGAGCCTTTTGAGGATTTTGT